ATTTGGCCATACAATAAAACAAATTTAAAATACATTTGTATTTTAAATGTAACCAATATATAACCGAGTTTTGTGATCAATTACATTGGAGCATAATAAAGTCCCTATTTTCTATGAAGCGTAACAAACACTGCATAGTTGTGTAGCAGATGGGGATGCACAAAAATATACTTCTGTCGGAAAAAAATTGGTTCATTTGCCTGGACCGTACCCAAGTTTGATTGTCCCCCTTTGCCACCTTTTCGGTTGGTTTGTGTACACACTGTCTCTTTTCTTTCTGAACCCCGGTATGCTTGCGTCATCGAACTATTGTTTTGTTTGCGCCTGTTGCTAGCTGATGGTCACGAAAGCAAAGCGCCGAAATGGAAAGACGTCCACACATCACGGTCATTCTGCTTTTATTCAATCTTTTAGTTTTGGACATACAAATAGCGACTCGCGTCGATCTGCCCAAAAAATATTATAAACATTCAGAACATCACCCAGTGTCTGTAGAAGCTGTTTTTGGAGAAGACAAGCAGAAATTATCATTGTGTTTGCCCTGGCTCAGTCCCTCTTGTCACCAAGGTACAATATGTGACACACACACATAGACAAACACACACACACATACATGAAAGTTATGAAAACGATAGTTTGTTGTACAGTTGGCGGTTCACTTCCGTTTTTTTTTACGATTGCGTACCGTACCAGAGTTCGCATGAACTATACCCCAGACCACCTCTTTCAGGTGGACTCGGGTACGGTTCACGGATGCGCACCCGAGTTCAGTAGACACGTTCACACTAACTAAACGTACCATACTATGACATCAAACCAAATGTGCTAGTGTGAAAGCACCCTTAATGTTAGTTTATTTTTTGTTGATCAGTTCTCTACAAAATAAACACGAAGAACGAACTTTTGAGGTGAAGTCAAGTACTCCAGGACCAAGTACTTCCTCGCTGGTAACGAGCACCTCTCAAAAAATTTAACTATACTTCGCAAGGGCGTGTAACACAAGCTCTGTGATTGGTCGGCTTGGCAGCGCTGATGAGTATGGGCGGAGATGAGAGCTGTGTGAGCCCGATGCAGCGAGTGTTTTACAGTTGTGGAATCCTGTAAAGGAGCTCCAGATGGAGACTTTGTTTTGTGTTTTCCTTATGATTAAAAGTGTTGAATGTCCGCCAATTCCAGCCTTAATATGAGCGAGTTTGAGCCACTTGTACATTAAGGTAGTGTTCAGAAACAAAACAAAACACCAGCAAAGAAACTCAACACAGAGAAACATAAACACTGTCAGCTAGCATTTCAGAATTGTTACTGCAGAGCAACAGAAACAGAAGTGCAGAAGTATAAATGCAATAATATGTGCATTGCATGCGCTCTGGGTCACGCCAATCACTTAGCGCAGAAGTATAAACCAGGCTTTGGACAAATTAAACAGCAATGCAACAACTTTGGATTTGGCTAAGCATTTTAGAATGACCAAAAACATTTCAAAAAAACTTTTGCAGCATGAGATGCATTTCAGTTATTGACATTCAATCATGTTTTTAAAAGCATGAAAGTGAATGCATGCTGTTGTCTGTCGGCTCAGTCTCAGAGCAAAACACATACACACCAGAGTGCCTAAATGGTCAAATACATGCAAATAAATGTTTAAATGCAGCACTTTACTCACACATAACTGAACATATAGTGCTAAGAATAAAACAGCATGTCATAGTGAAAATGTAAACAGAACTGAGTGGCTATTAAAGCGGCAGTACACTATTCCTGCTGTTAAGTGTTTTATCATTATTGATCATGATTATGATTAATCAATTATGATTATCTTTTTTTAAGTAACACTGTGATCCTGCGAGACACAACATTTCATTTGACTATATGTCCACACATGTAGCGAATGACAAAAAAGCTTAAACTTCTTTCTTTTTTTTATTTCAACTGATTTTTTACATTTATTTTACTTTGAACCATTGAAAAAAAAACGTAAATGCATTAAATGGTAAACATTTTTTATTCATTACTATTCTATTTTTGAGGGCCAAAAATTTTATATATTATAATGATGTTTTTTGGGTGTCACGGTGGCACAGGGGGTAGCATGATTGCCTCACAGCAAAAAGGTCGCTGGTTTGAGCCCTGGTTGGGTCAGTTGGAATTTCTGTGTGGAGTTTGCATGTTCTCCCTGTGTTCACGTAGGTTTCCTCCGGTTGCTCCGATTTACCCCACAGTCCAAAGACATGCACTATAGATGAACTGAATAAGCTAAATTGGCCAAAATGTATTTGTGTGAAAGAGTGTGTATGGGTGTTTCCCAATGTTGGGTTGTGGCTGGAGAGGCATTTGCTGCGTAAAACAAATGCTGGATAAGTTGGCAATTCATACCGCTGTGGCCACCCTTGATTAATCAAAGGGCTAAACCGAAAAGAAAATGAATATTTATGCTTACTTTATGTAGCCTATTCAAGTTCAGTAACAGTTGTCAATGCATGCAAGCTAATATATGAAAGTGAAATATAATGGGATGGTCTATAAAAAATTAACTGTTCAGTGCTCTTCTCACTGTTTGGTACACATGTGTTAAGATCAGTTTACGGTATTTATTCTGTTAGTATTATTATTTTTTTCTCTCGATTTTTTCTTTTCAAGGACACTCAGTGCAGGTGCATCCCTGCCGTTTCATAGCAAACTTGCGCGCAGAAAAGACATAATACTGTATGTGAACAGCCCCTGAAGAAGATTGTTGGTGTTGGTTATGGCCTATTGCAGTTTATTCTATCTCATCATGGTTTCACTTTATTAATTTCTCCAGTGTACAGCGTATTTTTTCAGTTAATGTTGCAAACTTGCATGTTTCAGGTTTTATCAGATTAAAGATTTCAATGCAAGACATGACAAAAACTCAATGCTCGCTTGTGCATTTCTGCCAGCTCACAAATGTTAAGATATTTTTATATACATGTTCCTGCGCAGTTTTTTGATTACATAGCCTTGTTGAGAATAATTTTTTTAATACTAAAATGCCCAAACTCCGTCCTGGAGGGCCTCTGTCCTACAGGGTTTAGCTCCAACTTGCCTCATCACACCTGCCTGGAATTTCTAGTATACCTAGATCTTGGCTGTTTCTCAATATGCGTTCTTCAGTGGTCTTGCGACCTCGTGTTCTCATGTAACGTCATCATTAGCTGCCCAAGTTCAGTTCCAATACTCAAGACCGCAAGAACAGAGGATGCGTAAAATTTCCCTGATGTGTTCTTGATATCGAGGACACACCGATGCAGACTTGAGCACTTAACTCCCTCTGGAAGTCCCAGAAGTCATTGCGACTGGAGATGAGAAGCGCAGAATTTTATATCTATTTATAATTAAAGTTCAGAGATATAACTTATTTACCTCAGGAGTTTCCCTAAATGAAACGGTAAATATGAACATTACCATGGACATCTTAATAAAGGAATAAACACATTAAGAATGTTTTTTTTTTTTTCTGAAATTCGTTTTAAAATCTGTTTTATTTATATTGTGCAACGTATATTTATAATGTTCTCATGCAGAGTATATATTTTAAAAAGGGGAAAAACAATAAATCGTTGTATGAATGCTGTAATGTTTAAATAAGTTTCAGTTATTACAGTTATCACAGCCCTTGATTAGGGTGGTTAGAGCTTGATTAGCTGGTTCAGGTGTGTTTAATTGCGGTTGAAGTTAAACTCTACTGGAGCCTGGCCCTCCAGGACTGAGTTTGGGCACCCCTGCTATAAACAGTAGATTAGAAGGCTGTGTATTTTATGCTTATGATATGACACTTATGATGTGTATTTTATTTTATGATGTGTGGTATTTCAAAGTGTAAGAATTGGGCTTTTTATACCATGTAAACCGAATCAACCGGAAAACTGTGACCACACCGTGATACGAACTGAACAGTTTTGTGAACCGTCCCACCCTAAATAGGTGTCTTCAGTTCTAAGAGGGCTGCGGATCTTCAGTTTAGTTCCAGTCCTAATTAAACACACCTATTCAAACAAATGAGTTCTTTATGCTTTTCTTTATGCTTACTGACTGGCTAGGTGTGTTGAAACAGGGCTGGAACTGCGGCTCTCCCGAAGTTGAGTTTGACACCCCTGCCCTACATTATTTACAAATTATTCACAACATAAATCTGTCTTTATGAAATCTTTTGTTTCTTTTTTTTTTCTTTTTTTTCTTTTTTTGAGTTTAGACTAAACTGCAAGCTGCCTATTGCAGCAGCTCACATAACCACTTTCGCGGTAGTGCTTTGAACTGGCTTTCAGTTTCCTGTTTTATTTGAATACACACGCAGGCCAGGCGCGCGGTGTGTGATAGGTCATTAGACCTATAGGGAGGTGCTGTAAGACAGCACACGGTGGATGGGAAACGATATCACTCTAGACTGGGGACTCATGTGCTAGAAAGGCCCAACTGAGCGAAGAAACCCGACGTGTTTACTGCAGTACCACTAGTATAGAGGTGCCGCACGAGAACGTCCAACTGTATCACTGCTGAAAGAGGCATCGGGCACTCTCGAGCAGAACGAGCTCTCGTGTTCAAAAACAGCGAGACGCAGCATAGGCTTCTCGAGAAGCGTTTTATAAAATAATCTTCTTTCGGCGTCTTAAAACAAAACGCAGTAAAATGCAATGAGATAAGAGTCAACAGTATAGCGCATGTGTACATAGTAAATTAAAACAGCGCGAAATGACGCAGGAAGGCGTCACTCACAACGGCTGGCTTATACAAATAACGCAACTGAAATAATTTCGGGGCCGTTTAATACGGCAGCTTTTTAGGACGATGTGTTGGCCTATAATCATTTTACGATTGCTTTCAAAAGACACAGACAATGTTAGACAGCATATCAACTGCGTGGAGTTGCAAAGTAACCAGCTGTGAAATAACAAAGTTATAATATTTAGCTCCAGTAACGTTACTCATTTACAAGGCGCATCAAATGAAGCTAGAAAGTAATAAGGGGTTTAAGCGTTACTTACATTGTCAAACAGTGATCCCACGTTTGCAGTGACCAGCAAGATGTCCGTGTACATCTCCATGATAAGAACAAGTTGTAGAAAAGTCTAATCTGATGTAGGGAATCCCACTCGTAGCTCTTTAGAGCTAGAATAACAAACGGCTTACAGATAAGATTAGGAAAGACTAGCTATCTCGCTCTGAAGACAGAGCCCACATGAGCGACGACCGCATCTCTCGTCCTTCTGTCATGAGGAAATATATTCACTTTCACGTTTTTTACTTCTTCGCTTGCTCAACTCTAGACACGGAGATCTCCGCCTGTATTCATTGTAATTAGACTTGCATTTCTAATCGGAATTAACCAAGCTTTGAAGCATATAGTCTTGGAGTTCTTGACGTGCCAGGGAAAACCAAACTAGTTGCGCTGTCAGTGTTATGTTGCATGTGAAGCTCCGCCCCGCACATGTACTGTTACTGTGAGTTACTGTACAAATGCTAAGCGTCAAAGTTTCCGTGCGTCAGTCTAGTGAGGCAAAATATCTAGGCCTTGCATAGCATTTACTGAAACATATTTTTATCAGGGGTATTTATTTATATATTTATTTGTTTGTTTTTTGTTTGTTTTAATAAAAAAATAAATGAATAATTAAAAAGGACGAGCTTAAGGGGTAAAACATTTCAGAAAAAAAAAATTCAGAACTTTTCAAAAATGAATTTCATCGATTGCATGTTTACTGTTTTTATTCTAACAGGCAGTATAATGCTAGTTTAACCTTACCTCACAGATATTTTGGCCGACTCTAGAATTTATTACCCTAATTTATGAAGAAAAAAAATCCAACCATTTATCAAAAACAAGGCATCATTTGAAAGCTTTTCATTCATTTTTTGTAAATGCTCAAAAATGGGGTGTAGGGTAAGAGGTTAAAATGGCTGACTGAAGTGACAGGCCTGACAACTGAATGGCATTATTATTTCATTTATATTTTTTGTATATAATTATTAATACAATTTTTATAATATTGTATATTTTTTATTTCACATATAATACAAATAAAAATTTCAACAAACATAAATTATACTGTAAATATAAAGTATTTTCTGTTTTATGTCAAAGGATTTACAAATAACAATTTTGCCCATTTGCTGCACTGCTTTTGTGTTGTTGTTGTTGTTTTTTGTTGTTTTTTTTTTGTTTGTTTTTTTTGTGTTTGACCAAGTTTATCAGTGACATTGTAGTACATATACATAATTGTCATTTATATTATTTATGAGTAATGGTGACTAACTATCCATTTTATATAGATTGCATTTAGATGGCACTAGTTAGTACAGCTAAGAGACAAAGGCAATGTTTGCCATGACTAAATGCAGACCTTGAGAGAAAGGAGACATCTTCAGAAAGAAAAGGAGAGATGGAGGCTGAAAAAAGACAAGGAAAAGAAAAAAAGAGCATACTTAAAGAGATTAAAAAAAAAAAAATAGGATAACGGAACAGTTCCAGGGCCAGCAACAGGGTAAGGGACTGGACTAAGGTCTTTAAGGTTAGAAATGACTACAAACAAAATACCACTTCAATTTATAGCTTGGTAATAACAGAAGTTTCCATAGTATTATCCTGATATTACTGAGCCGTAATGTGATAGCAGTGTTGCATTTGCAATTTATTAAAAAAAATTTAAACAGGAAATTATTATATAAACACATCTGAGAAAATGTTTGTTACTCTCCTTAAAATATTAAGGTGGGGTTATATATCTACTACTATGTTTTTGAAAAAATCTCTTATCGAAAAGTATTATTTTACAACTATATTAGTGTCTCACAGTTATTCTGTAATTTTGTTCAGTACAGTTGGCAGAAAAGCTGCTCTCTTTAAAAAAAAAACATTAAAATGCTTGCAGATCTGATTGCCAGACCTTTTCTGTAAAAATTGTTTTATAGAACTGTTCAAATTTACAGAAAATAACTGTATTTCATTAAGTGATACAATCTTAATTTACAAACATTTGAGTAACCTAATTTTATTTGCTGAAACTGACTACACTAAAATTAACCATCATTTGCTTATAAAACAATATTTGTAAGTCTTATTAATGTGAGCATATTGGTACTGAGAACCATAATAGATCAGTTCACAAGGAAAAACAATTAAATATTCAGTCATGCTTTATTCAATGCATTAATGTGTTCTTGTTCAATTTGCAAACACACTGTTAAAAATTTTTTTCTGTAAATTTTTTCTGTAAATTTTTCTGTAAAATATACAAAAGCTTTATAGAACTGTTAAAATTTGCAGTTTTCCAATAACTGATACAATAACCATTTGAGATTTATTGATTTTCTAAAACTGAAAATTAAATTAAACTTAATTTAGAGCAAAAGCAATATCCTCACTAGTGTCCACACTACAGTGTTGAACACTAATAGGCAGTGATTAAGTTAATAAGATAATTAAGTGTCTAATCAAAGAAAGATTGAGAATTATTGATGAACAAGCAGATGAAATCAATCGAAAATAAAACTATATATACATTATATATATATATATATATATATATATATATATATATATATATATATATATATATATATATATATATATATATTTTTTTTTTTTTTTTTTTTTTTTTTTTCCTCAAGAGATCAGCAGAGGATCATTAAACAACTCCACACACATCAGGAGCTTCACTTATTACTGACTTTTGACCTTATTTCTACCGCCCACACAAGCCTGTCAGATTAGGGACTATAGTTATTAGCAAAACAATGAAAAACAGAGTGTGATACAAAAAAGTCTTTATCAACCTCCTTAATCCTTTAAACTAATATGACATACACACACATTGTCAATAGAGGGAGAGGCCATGAAGAGTCAGTAAAAAGTAAACAATAAAAGCATGACATTATAATAGCCTTTTCTATAAAGCCTGAAGGAAACATCAGCTTCATAATTGAAACACCATTGTAAAAAGGTGTAGATGTATCAGTTAATGAGACTAAGTTTGATTCTTGCATATCTTGTTTGAAATAACAAACATACACTTAAAACATACCTGTTTGAAGGAAAATACTGAGGCTGAAATTGGTATATAAAAGAGAAACAGTGTCAGTTTAATGATCTTTGATTAATGGGAAAATAGTCCTTGCACAAGCTAGGGTGTGGTTCAAGATTGCTGTTAGCTTGTGTACAAAAATAGGAAAAAGATGATGAGGTATTCTCTTTTAGGTGATTTCATCCCCTTTGGGGTTAATCCAATGAAAAAGCACACTGTTAAACCTAAAAGTCAAATTTACCTAAATGAAACAAGGGTAGTAAGTGTACTTAAAATTTACTGAAAGTTAATTCTACAAATGAGCATAAGAAGCTGTAGCTGTTTGTGTAATATCCACTAGATGGTGCTGCGGCCATTCTGAAGTGAAAAAGGACTTGAAAACTGGACATATAACCAGATACAGACAAAATTACTTGCAACGCAAGAGAAGTCAAAAACGAAATAAAAACTTTTCCTATGACAACTACATGTCATACACAGAAAAAGTCAGAATGACTAATAAATAAAATTGCTATATTTATTTAATTGATTTATGATATAAATGCATATGAAGAGTTCAATAAAAGAATTTGCTTATTAATTGTTTTTTTTCTGTAATTCAATATACAATTTAAAAACAAAATGTTTTATAGCTAAAAAAATATTTTTCTTAAATCATGTTTTAACATCGATACACTGCAAAAAGAGATGTATCAAAAACAATACAAATGTCATGTTGATGTCAATCTGACATATTGTGTAGATTTGTAACACACCATATGTCAGACATATGTCGTCCGTTTTTTTTTATGCCTTTGCATAGATCTACAGTACATGTGTCATCTCCAGGCAAGAGGGCAGTTTTTATTTGTTAAATGAAATTATCATATTTTATATAAATATTAATTTATTTACCTCTGGCTTAGTCTCTGATTCAGCGGAATGAAACTATTCTGGCATATATTACACAGCAGATGCCTTTCCAGCTGCATCCCAGTACTGGGAAACACCCATACACACACACACAAACACACACAGACACACACACACACACACAGACACACACACACACACACATTCACTATGGCCAGTTTAGTTTATTCAATTCATTTAAAAGCGCATGTCTTTGGGCACCCAGAGGAAATTCAGGGAGAACATGCAAACTGTGGAAAAAATGCCTACTGGTCTAACCAGGACTTGAACCAGCACAGCAACTTTCTTGCTGTGAGATGACAGTGCAGACCACTGAATCAACGTGCCATCCCAAAACACATAAATATTAAAAATCTAATCAGTTACTACATAAAACGTAAATAAGTAACAGTTGCTTTTTGTTCACCCAATCAGGTCATGCCTTTTCATTTTTTAATTCATCAACCATCCTCACACTATTTTTAAAAACCTCTTGCTTAATTTTAAAAAAGATGTGTCCACTAGTCTTTTATGCAGGTGCAAACATGTGCTGTATGAAGCGTGAGTGTCATTAACGTTCATCTTACGGTTTCTGCTTGTACTCAATAATGTAACATAATCAGTATGAGCTCATTTGGTACATAGTTTCATTCCTCAAATGTTTGATGTTAACCCAATTACATTATTATAATTTTTGTGATGTGATGATGAAGGTGGCTAATCATAAAGGTTTGAGTCTGAATGGCATTTTTGTCTTTAAGATGTTTTTTTTCCCATTGGCTAGCTGGCACAAAATGCCTCAACTGGTGCCCAAACATCTAATTCTGGACTGTGACAATGTGACAACTTATTTTGCATTTATTTCTACGCAACCCTCTATTTTTTTTTTCTTTTTTTTTTTAAAGGTTTCTGGAAGTTCTATCCATGCTGCATGGTAGGGGGATGGTAAGATTAGCTAATGCTAATGTGCTCTTCCACATGCCTGGACGTGTTCTCTGTGTTGCTGGTATGTTGCTGTGATGCTGGTCAATATTATAACTCTATTTTGTGATTTGTGCTATGTTGAACACTTTAACTGTTATTATTACTCAGTTTTGTGCTTTGGGTAGCTCATGTTTGTATCCGACTGTAGACTTTGGGGTGTTGTCATGAGTATATTGCTAGAATTTCATTTATATAAATGTCCCATTCCTTGAAGGAATGTGAATGGAAACTTAAGCATGTTGCTTGAACTCCATACCAAGGACCAAAGTAGATGGCTGATGTGTAACAACAGCAAAACGGTGATAGAAGTGCTCTTCCATGAATCCAAAATTCAAGATAATGCCAGCAGTATCACAAGCATTACCATCTGTCACCAAACTTAGTGAATTAACACCACTAAGTCTGATAAACAGACCGCAAAGCGTCCCTGAGATGGGCCAATAGGAGAAAAAGAACACAGACAGCGCTGTAGTAGACATGAAATGGTTAACGTGTCACGTGATTGTGGTGGAGGGTCACCGGGGTTACGTAGTGCGCATATAGGTGGCACCTGTTTGTTCACAACTCAGGAAGGAGAGAGAGAGGGGGTGAACGGGGACGCGGTACTCTTTGTTGACCAAACAAACTCAAACGAAATCAAACTTAAGCCCAAATCAAAGTCTACACTGTCAAAAGATCAAGGTATGTTTTATATTGTAAAGTAAATGAGTGATGACATTGGAACGACTTCTTGCCTTGTGTTCATTTGATGTTTGCATCACAAAACATGTCTCTGGTTTTGGCTCTCAGCTGTTACTCCACGTAGCCGCTACAAGCGCTATGCCTTCCAGCTCAGAAAATCGGTGCTTTTTGCCACAGGCTCAGAGAAAGTCAGAGTATGGGCTCCTTTCTCTCACAGTCCCACCTCCCCCTTTGGGCTCTTGGGAAGAAGTTAAGATTAAACCTCTTATTTTTCACTCTTCTTCAGGATGTGCCACCTCACGGGGTGAGCTATCCCATCCCTTGCTGCCCCACTGCTGGTGGGTCAGTGATTGAGCCGATCATGTCACTCACACAGGCTCCACCAGCCTGGTTAGCGCTGCCCAGCCAGTTGCACTCATTCTGACATTCAGACTCAGCAATGCGATTCAGTTGCTAAACGACCCCCAAGTTCAAGGGCGTGTATGACACCAGGGTCAGCCCTCTGTCCGCCCCTTTTTTGTGCGAGAAGATTGCTGTCCTCCTGGCAAAGGATGCAATTTAGTCAGTCTCTCCAGCCAAGATGAGGTATCAGTTTTACAGCGTGTACTTCATTGTACCTAAAAAGAGTGGTGGGTTATGACCAATCCTAGTTCTGCGCATTTTGAGCGGCTGCCTTCACAAGCAGTTGTTCAGAATAATCACACAGAAGCACATTCCCTGGTGCCTCAGTCCTCAGGATTGGTTTGCGGCTATAGTCCTGAAGGATGTGTATGTTCATGTCTCTATTCTTCCACGCCACCATCAGTTTCTGTGGTTTTCGTCAAGAGTCGAGCATGACAGAGCAAAGTCCTCCCTTTCGGGCTCTTCCTGTCTCCACAGGTTTTCTCCAAGCTCACAGAGGATGCCCTAACACCCCTCTGGCTTGCGTGCATCTGCATACTCAAGTATCTCGACAACTAGCTGACTTTAGCTCACTCGTGGGATCAATTGGTTATGGACGGGGACAGTCTGTTTTGGCGCCTCAACCTTTTAGGGTCTCAGGTCAACTGAGAAAAGAGTAGCTTGCCCCCACACAGAGCATCTCTTTTCTTGGATTGTAGCTGGACGCAATCACCATGTCGGTGCGCCTCTCCCAAGAGCACGCCGGGCTGATACTGACCCATCTGAGAGAGTTCGACAGGAAATAATGTCAGAGGCTCCTGGGGCATATGGCATCCGCGACCGCTGTCAGCCTACTCAGATTGCTTCAAATAAAACCGCTTCAGCATGGCACACGGGCACGCACTGGGTGGTTGTCACTCCTCTGTGTCGCCGTGGCCTCAGCCGTTGGATAGACCCTGTGTTTCTACAGGCCTGTGTGCCTCAAGAACAAGAGTTCAGGCATTTCGTCATTCAGACGGATGCTTCCGGTACGGGCTGATGGGCTGTGTGTTGCGACAATGCAGCTGCGGGTCTATGGAAAGTACCCCTGGTTGCATTGGCATATCAATTGCTTGGAGCTGGTGGTAGTATATCTTGCGCTGCACCATTTTTTTACCAGTGCTAAAGGGGAAAATTGTGCCTTTCTGGCTCAACCAGACCTACATATCAGAACCCTCTCTCCTCGTGACGGCTCTTCCCTGGCAAATACCTCTGAGGAAGTACTTCTTCTCTGGAACAGGCACCCGCGCCCAGATCTCTGGAACCTCACATGTGGTCCATAGATTTAGTGCGGAGGACTTAGGTGACCTAGTGGTTCGGTGCCACTCAGACTAGAGCACCTTCTACAAGGCATGCCTACACCCTAAAGTGGAGTCTATTTGCTGTGTGGTGTGCTTCTCTCCAAGAAGGACCCCGGACATGCCAGATCAATGTGATGCTATCCTCCTTCAGCTGGCTGGAGGTAAAGCTGTCCCCTCCGCGGGGATGACAGCGCTGGGAAAGCATTGCCTCATCATCCAGTTCCCAGAGGTGCGAGATGCTGGATGATTAAAAATAAATCCTTTCCCCCTCCTATGCCCTCTTGGATATCTCTCTGTAGGTGAGGTCTGCTCGATTGACTAAAATTCGAAGACTCTATCTACAGTAGGTAGACAGTTCTGCTGGTTGCATTAGCATCGGTCAAGAGTGTTGAGTATCTGGAAGCATTTTCCGTTAGCGAAGTCTGCCAGAAATTTGGGCCAGCCCATGTTTTTTTAAGACTCTGGCCCATCCAGGTGCCTGAGGTTCCTATTGTGCTTTTTTCAGACCACATAGTAAACCTGCAAGCGATGGCCATGGAGAAGAATACATTAAATAACTATATAATTTATGTGTAACTATATAGAATATAATTGTAAAAAAATGTATTATTGGCCATGTCAATAAAAAATTGACATGCACTGAATTCTAGACATGCGCTATAGGTGAATCGGGTAAGCTAAAATTGACTGTAGTGTGTGAAAGTGCATGTGTGTTTCCCAGTAATGGGTTGCAGCTGAAAGGGCCTCCGCTGCGTAAAACATATGCTGGATAAGTTGGTCGTTCAATCCGCTATGGCGACCCCAGATTAATAAAGAGACTAAACCAAAAATGAATGAATGAATGAATGAATGAATGAATGAATGAATGAATGAATGAATGAATGAATGAATGAATGAATGAATGAACAAATTAAATAGTGCTTTAAGACAACAACTGCTCATGTTCATTTTGTACAGTGTAGTTCAGCTGTTGTTTGGGAACCCCACACCCCAGACTGTTTTCTGAGGAAAGTTTTCTCTTTGAAGTGACACAAGCAATGTCATTGTTGACCTTTAAATGTGAAAGGGAAAAAGATATATATATTTAATTATCCATAACCATCTGATCTGAGATCAGTGTGGCTATCTGGGATATAACTGTTCTAGGGAAGGGTATTGGGTGTGAGGCTTGTCTGAAACCAGTTGTGGCCAATTCAGATTAAAAAGAAATGTCAAGCTTCATACGGAATAGAGAGGTGGCCTTTAGAATAGAACATGTAGTGTGATTGGCTACTGTGTATAAAAAAATAAATAAATAGAAAAAGATAAACAGATAAACTGAACATTAAAACTTTCACATTCAGTTAAACATAGACGCATAACTCTACCACAGATCATCCAAAACAGGTAAGGACAAAATTCATTATTATTTATAGACATCTTTGACTTCAAGTGAGCAATATTGTAAAGACATCAAATAAATGAACAGAGAGAAACAGATGATGGCAGTATTTTTAAGTGGTTAATAATGTTTAGTAAAGTGTTTTCTGTTTTAATATGTTTTAATATGTGATGGATAAAACTGTGATGGAATTGTGTTTAGATATTTAAAGATTAAATTTATTTTTAATCACTAAAATTGCAATAATCCTAATTGTATTTTAATTAGTGTAATGCATCCCTGTTGAATAAAAGTATTAATTAAACAAACAACAACAGCAATGTAGAAAAGTGTATGAATAACAATTGTGGCTTGTTTATATACAAGATTTTATCTTCATATAAAAACGACAACAGTAAATGATTATACTACTGTGGATCACAAAATAAAACATTGTATGGGTCAAAATTGTACATTTTTATTTTATGCCTAAAAGTCATTAGAATATTAGGTAAAGATCATGTTGCAGAAAGATATTTTGTAAATATATTCCATAAATATAAAACTCTTTTTTGAATAGTCATATGCATCACTAAGAACTTAATTTGAACAATTTTAAAGGCAATTTTCTCTATATTTAGATTCTTCAAAACCATCAGATTCCAGATTTTTAATTAGTTATATCTCAGGCAAATATTGTCCTATCCAAACAAAAATCCTGGAAAGCTTATTTATTCAGCTTTCATATGCACATTTCATTTTCCAAAACTGTTTGTGGTCCAGGGTACCATATATGAATTGTATTATATTTGATTCTTTAAAATATATAAAGAGTGTTGTAAAAAATTGTGAATTATTTAAATAAATAACGCTCATTCATAGCAAAAAAGGAGCAAAGTGTGGAATGTTGGACATTAAAAAGCAGAAATAGGTGAGTTTATGGAATTTCTTTCACACTAGCAGGAAGAGAACATATCGTCAAGTGCGTAGGCTGATTATCATCATTCAAAATGTGGATCCTTCAGAAAGTGCAAGAAGGAGCGCAAAATCTTCCATTGCAGATCAATCATCTCATCAGCAGCAATAAAGAGGAGCTTTCAGCCAGATTACAGACCAACATTCTCAATAAAATGCACAGTAATGTCCTCACACAGGATAAAATTCCAGATTTTTTCCTGCCACCCAAGTTGGCCAAGCGCTGCTACATGGTAGACACAGAAAAAATCTCACAGTGTTTGAATGAAGAAAAAAAAGTTGTCAACACACCAAAAACACTATTGCCAAGACCTGATACTACCCTGCCACTGAAAGCAAGTATGAACAGATCAACAACGGCTTTGAACAAATTCAAACCCCTTCCATATTCAATGACATGCTTTGAGTCTGGTTTGTTTGAGAGTCCAAACACACGTCGAAAAGAATCATTGTTCCATTCTGCGCTGACCAGTTACAAAGTAGAGAGAATGACCGTCAAATCAAATAAACATTCTTCTAGTGAAGTGATGATGGCCAACACTAAGAGTGACACATCCTCTGCAGACTCCTCCCCTTATTCAACAACAACACCACCACTCAGAAGAAAGGATTTCACAGATGAATACACATTTTCTGAAGATACACTTCAGAAAGATCTCAATGCTTCAATGAATGAGAAAAAGAAAGTTCACTCCGCTCCAGACAAAAAGCTTATTTCAAAGGTCTTTCAGCATGCCAAAGTTCTTCAAACATCCCATTGCAGCAAACTAGCCCCACCAGTCCAGTTCCCACTGGACATGCTGCACTGCCAAGAACGCTTCCACCAGGAGCATGTGCTTCCTCTTCCTCAGCGAGGCAAAGTGCGCATCTCTGCCTTCAAGTGCAGTTCAGCTGGAAGCTCTACAACAATTCGCATTCGTGTTGTATCAGTGGAAGACTTGCGAGATCCTGGAGACCTTCGACCACTGACCTGCAGCTTGACCCTGACCATAATCCCTGGCAAGCTACAGCAACAAAACAGTGCCATCATCAGGAACTGCCGTAACCCTGTGTTCAATGAAGATTTCTTCTTCCAAGAGCCAGAGGAGCATGGCAGTCTGAAAGATTTTGCCCTCAGACTGAAGGTCTTGGACAAGGCCTCAGGACTGGGCAGAGGAATGGTGCTAGGTATTGTCATCAAACCTCTCTATCAACTAGTGCCACTGTAAAAAGACATTAGGTACGTCCCAAATTGCATACTTATGCACTATTCCAGTGGTTCCCAACCTTTTTTGCCTGAGACCTCCTTTTCCCCTGGAAAATATTGTAAGCGCCCCCTCCACATTTAACAATATTATCGCTCATATAAGTTTGCAGTAACGATGACAAAAAATGTTGTTTTCAAACAAACAGTATGTTTATTACTATATCTATACATGTTTATGCACAAATAATTGCCTACAGTAAAATATAAAAGCAAAACATTAGTAGGCCATTTATAACTGAATATTGCAAGCATTTTAAATTGGCCCTATTTGGAATTCAATAACAAAAATATCAGTATTTACACACATGTATGAGGTAAAAAAATAATACAGGTTACTACAATTTATATTTGCATGTTATTTGTTTTCCTCAATCAATTAACATTAATATAAGGATTATAACATTAATATAAGATATTAAGGTCTTTTTGTGGAGAATGAATTACAAATGTGTCCATTTTTGGTCACTAAGGGCAGTAATCCTCAACCTTTTTATCACCACGGACCATAGTGCATTCACCTGATTTTTTGACAAATGGGTTGCAAATCCATTCCCTGGCAGTTCGTGGGTTATTCGTTTGGGCCTTTACCCCTTAGCAAAGAAACTTTCCAAAGTCATCTGTTTCTTAATTATTTTGCTGCTTGTGGGTTAAATTAATAAAAGACTTTTCAAAATAAAAAAATCATTTAGACTCAAATAATAAATAAAACGGAAATAATTAATGATTTCTTGTGCAGCCTGGAACCAATTGGCCCGGTGGTTGAGGACGACTGAGCTTGGGGTAAAATGAAATAAGGCAACGGCTGCGTCCGAAACCGCCTACTACTCAGTAGGTACTGCATTTGAATTTAAACGTACTAGTCTGCCGTTAGAAAAGTACGTTCTATACAGTATGAATGTGAAAAGTATAAATGGAATTCGGACGTACTATATCCGCCATTTTGTCATGGTCACGTGACCTACCTGCGTCAGTTGCGTCGCCTCACTTCCATTCATGAATTCTCTCACGGGGCATTATGGGATAGCACAGCGTGCATGGGATGCGCACTTCAGAATCAGAAGTAGTAAGTCATCCGGGTACTTCTTGCCTACTGATTTTCGAATTCTATGAATTCGGACATACTACTCGGCTCGCATACTGATTTGAACATACTATATAGTATGAAAGTATGCGGTTTCGGATGCAGCCAACATGAAAATTCTCCTAATTAACCAATGCTTAGAAATTTGTACAAATTTGACGCGACCCCTCACAGAGCTCACTGAGGCCCCCTTGTGGGCTGGGACCTTACTGTTGGGAACAACTGCACTATTCTATGTCATTTTGTAGTATAAATAGTGTAAGTTTTTCATTCACACTGAAAACTCTAAAAATAATAAGTGCACTTTAAATATTCAGATGGTACGCTTATTTAATTGTTAAAATTAAGTTTGGAATTTTGGACACTTAACACACTCAACAGTCGCAGCTTTGCTCATGTAGCAAAAGGGGTGGAGCTTTCAGGTACTGATGTGGGATTACTTTATTTTGGATTGTGAAAGCAAAATTCTCCTACGAGAGTGATTATACTGCCTCCCGATGGTGAATGTGGTTATACTTATGAGAGGTTTTATTTAAAGGGTCACGAAACACCAAAACACATTTTTTTGAGCTGTTGACAGTCGTATATGTGTCCCACACTGCTAAAAATACTATTAGGACACCTATATTTCACTAAAAAGTGTAAATTGGTTGTTTTTGCGTTATTTCAAGCAAATTCGTACTTCCGGTTTGAAACAAATTTTTGAAGCTGCGTCACGGTCATGACATAATAGCGTTGTATTCCAGCGTGCAGACTGGGCGTCTGTGCCAGAGTGTGTCTTATTACATACAGTGTGATGCAATAATGCATGAGTAAGGCTTAGTTCAAACCGCTCTATTGTGCAACTTCATTAATATTCATTACTGTCACAGTATTTAGACGACAGACACACCACGTTGTATTGGCAAAACAAGCGTGAAATGTTGCTTTAATAGTTTGCTGCAGTTAAGTTTTGTTTTCATTTTTTCTCTGTGAGAGCTCATCTGGAGTCACGTGTGGATTAACAGTGTACGCGACGCTCGACAACAATAACTTACGTGTCTAAGGAGGATTATTGTTTACCTGAGAGCTGTTCTCATGTTCTCATGTGAGCAGTTCAAATGTATGTTATCGACGCCTAATCTCTCGCTATACACTTTACTATTAGGGTGTTTAAACCTTTGAATCAAAATTTGAAGCAGTCACGTGGGTATAGGTGAAAATGAAGCTTCGGACGTCACTGATCACGTGATGATGGCAAAACGAATCAAGCTCCGGTACACAATTAGAGCAAAACAAAGGAATAATAGCATAGCCTACATGCAAAGTCATGATAATTATATACCCAAATAGGAATAAAAGAGACGATTTGCACGAAACTGCAGCGCATTAAACACACGCGTCTTTAATTTACCACTAAACACCGAGTAGACGCGCACCTCAATTTAAAGTACAGATAGCGTGACCGTCTCTTTCTGAACCGCAGATGGCGTGACCGCAGTTGCAAACGCTGAGATCCGGATTCGCTTGTAGTCTCCTCTTAATAAAGACGTGGCTCTAGTTGCTGGTGATTGTCCTGTCTCTACAGATTTGGTAAGTGAGCTACCAGTGCCCAAACTTTAACCTTGTGTAGGGTTTTCACCGCATTTAGTGACCGGAAAAACACACGCTGCTTTCTGATGCTACCTGCAGTGTGCATCTAAGTTTCCGGGAAATACGGAGGGTTTTTTTCTCTCATTCGCCGTGCGGTATCAAACATTGCATGAAAAATACACGCTTAGATCAGTTCCTCGAATCAAATATCTCATTTGTCGCAAGGGGCATGAATGAATTCCCTGAATGAAAGAGCCAAACTGCAGTTAATGTCCACCATTTAATAATTTGGCAAATAATTCGACTACAGATGTCCATGTAGGTTAAACACCATCCCTTTCTCCTGTGTGTGTGTGTGTGTGTGTGTGTGTGTGTATGTGTGTGTGTGTGTGTGTGTGTGTGTGTGTGTGTGTGTGTGTGTGTGTGTGTGTGTGTATTTTGACTCTGAAACTCGCGCGTGCCCAAATAGACACTCCCACACCATCCCACTTTAGTTCCTCCGACACTCCCCCCTAAACAGAGCTGGACACACCCACTTTTCTGACTTTTTCCAAAGTAGAGGTGTAAAAACACCCTGCTGAAACCAGGGGGTTTCATGGCCCTTTAATAGTTTGGTCATTTGGTTCACTAATTCGGCAATCGTCAAAGTCATCTGGGAAACGGTTTGATTTTGAAATGGAAAACATTCGTATTCCATTTGGGATGACACTACATACATATACTATGTTGTTGAGTGTGTAAGTGCATAAATACATAGTGCATAGTGTGCCATTTGGGACACAGCTACTGTGTCTTATGGGAAAAAAAACATAATGTGTTCCAGATTCCTTTTCTTAAACTATTGACTATGATAAAGCTGGTTGTAGCTTTAAGTTAGAATTTTTGAGCAATAAAGGATCATAATTACATGATTAAAAAGTCTGGTTTATTGATCAGGCAAACATGTTACTTAAAATTGAATAAGGCTTAAATGTAGTCTATGGTGTTACAGAAGTAAAGGTGATGACTTAAATGCATAGTCAAAAAGAAATATAACCATTATTGATGCTTTGCTTTTCAAATGAACTAATAATTCATAGATGTTTATACACAATTATTAAATATATGTAATAAGTAAATAAGTGTTGCATTTAAAAGCCAGTGTTTTTGAATGAAGTATCTAATGTAGAGAACTATGTTAATATGCATGCTTTTTCAGACTTGGTCTTATGGTTTGTTTGTTTGTTTGTTTGTTTGTTTGTTTGTTTGTTTGTTTGTTTGTTTGTTTGTTTGTTTTTAAGTGTGGAACATTTACAGCAAAAGAAATTGTTAACTGCAAAAGTTTGCTAGTGTATTTTGGGCTAATTATTATTTTATCTTAGCTGTAATGACAAAAAAATTAATAAAAACAAATTTTGCATATTAAAATATCTAATCAATGTTGTGCTAAATCATAATGTTTTAATTTTTGGTTGTGTTTTATTCTCTTTAAAACAAGGGTTTTAAACTCAGTTTCTTGAGGGCCACAGCCCTGCACAGTTTAGTTCCAACCCAACTCCAACATTCTTACCAGTAGGTTTCAAACAAGCCTGAAAGACTCAATGGGATATATGCACACAGACTTTTAATTTCAATCAGCCAGCCCTTGGCCTTCCGGTCAATTGTCATCCAATACAAAATCGCTGTGTTTAAGATCAGATTTCTTAAAAAAACAGTGATCTTTACTTTTTTCTGCACCATGTCTTTAAAATATGGATATTTATTTTCCCCCAGTATTTTCAATGGAGTTTTTGCACAAGCAACTAATGATGGTGCTAGAGTTCACACAGATTTTTGTCACTTTTTACAACCAAATAGAAGCTTAAGTCTATTTATGGATTTATGGTTATAACATGGATGCTGAAAAAGAACCTTATAAAATTGAAAAAAAGGCACATAAAGCTCACACCAAAAAGCTCATCATTGGCTAAAAATCACTAACTGTGCATATAGCCCATTAGTTTGATCAGGTGTTTAATTAGGGTTGTAACTGTGCAAAGCTGCGGCCTTCACAGAATATTTTAAATCTAAAGTTAAACGTTACAGTTATTTTTCTGTTAGTTACCAAAGCACAATTTCTTTAAATGTAAATTAAATATTTATTTATTTATTTCATTTAGTTTATTATAGGCTAACAGTTAACTTTTAAGAGTCAGGTTTGATCTGGGCTTCTCTCTGTCTACACAAAACCACACTTTTTCTCTTCATGGTTTCGCTATTTGTCCACACTAAAGCACAGTGTTAGGTGACTGAAACCAAAACTTGAAAATTCAGGCCTGGGGTCCGTTCTTTGTACACGGATTACTCAATTAGCTGGATTAGGATATAACGATTTGACATGAAGCAGGATCTTTTAG